TGTTGAAACGGAGCACAGATTACACAAATGTGAATGGCCCCTGGAGTGTGGGGCAATCCTGAATGATATGTTACAAAGAGGAAAGGTAAAAAGATGCAGCAAATATATTTTTTATCAACTTTGAAGTTTGGACTCAATGATTGTGGTGCCTCAGGCTAAGGATTTTGATTGGGGAACTCAGTGTTGAAGATTAAGCTTTTCAAAATTGGGAAAGGGTCTGTAAAATTTGAATTAAATTAGTAAGCTCAGTTCTATTGAGAGGAAAAAAAATAAAAGCTTATTTTCCCTAAGTCTTAAGACTAAAATGTCCAAGTCTTGCCATCAAATGATCTGTGGTACCTTAGATTTCAGAATAGAAGCCATCTGGTTGGGGTTTGCTACAAATTTGGAAGATTGAAAAGGTAATAAAAAGTGAATTTTTCTATGATGGATGTTTTATTTTATAAAAATAAATTATTAAAACAATAACATCAGGAATGGGCTTTGTGGACCAGTGGGTTAAGCTGCCAATTGGGATGCCTGCACCCCATTTTGGAGTGCCAGTTTTGAGTCCTGGCTGCTCTGCTTCTGATACAGCTCTATGGTAATGTTCACCTGGGAGGCAGGTAGTAAATGATGGCCCTAGTAGTTGGTTGCATGCCACCAACATGGGAGCTCCAGGTGGAGTACCAGGCTCCTGGCTTTAGCTTCTCCCAGCCATGACTGTTGCCAACATCTGGGGAGTGAACCAGTGGATGAAAGATCTCTATGTCTCTCCATCTGTCTCTGTCACTCTGCTTTCCAAATAAATAAATCTTTTAAAAGTAATATCATAAATATTGATTAAACTCTTCATTTAAGGGAAGATGCTACCTAGGATAATTTTAAAAGAAATGTTGGGGCTGGTGTTGTCACATAGTGGACTGGGCCTGTACCAGTTCTAGTCCCAGCTGCTCCATTTCCTATCCAGCTCTCTGCTATGGCCTGGGAAAGTAGTAGATGATGGCCCAAGAACTTGGGACCCTGCATCTGTATGGGAGACCCAGAGGGAACTCCTGGCTCCTGGCTTTGGATTGACCTGGCTTTGGCTATTGCGGCCATTTGGGCAGTGAACCAGCAGATGGAAGACCTTCCTCTCTGTCTCTCCCTCTGTCTGTCTGTAATTCTGTTTCTCAAATAAATAAATAAATAAATGGAAATATAATTACCCAGAGACAATTGTTTTATAGGTTTGTTATTTAAACTCACAGCAATTATTAATCACTTTGACCAAATCGGGCTTTCTTTTCTATAGTGGTAGGTAAATATGTACTTTTAAAAACACTTTGGGGCTGGGCCGGTGCCGCGGCTCACTAGGCTAATCCTCCGCCTTGTGGCGCCAGCACACCGGGTTCTAGTCCCGGTCGGGGCACCGGATTCTGTCCCGGTTGCCCCTCTTCCAGGCCAGCTCTCTGCTGTGGCCAGGGAGTGCAGTGGAGGATGGCCCAAGTACTTGGGCCCTGCACCCCATGGGAGACCAGGAGAAGCAACTGGCTCCTGCCATCGGATCAGCACGGTGCACTGGCTGCAGCGCGCCGGCCGCAGTGGCCATTGGAGGGTGAACCAACGGCAAAGGAAGACCTTTCTCTCTGTCTCTCTCTCTCACTGTCCACTCTGCCTGTAAAAAAAAAAAAAAAAAAACACAACAAAAAAAAACACTTTGGGAGTTAGCCCATTCTAAGTCATTCTAAGTCATTCATTTATATGCTCAGAGTTAAAATTATTTTCAGTTACTGTCTCCTTTTGCCCATGTTAGTTGTTCTGGTGAGAGTTTTCCTATTGATTCTCATGGCAGACCTCTACATGCCTTTTTTCAGATAGTTTCTTTTGCCTGATATAGATGGCTGTCTATTTCAAAGTCATTGCCAACTAATCACAAAGAAGCTCCTAAAACATTCAATCACTCAAAATCCTCTGGGCCATGTTTTTCTATAATTATTTTTTTTCCTCATCTATGCCACCATCCCACCATGGTTTATTCCTTGTCTAAGGAGGTTCAGGTTAAGTTAGAGATATTTTCTACACAATAGCTAGAGATCACTTATTCACTGTATTTTTGCCACAGACAGTCTAGGAAAGCCTACTAGGAAATTCTGATTCAAACTACTTACTACTATTTTTTCTCACTGTGAACATTTCAGAAAACAATTTGGCGGATATCAAAGCATTATGATGCTATGACACTGGAAAATAAAACCTATTACAGAACAGAGAATACTTCTCACAGCTTAAACTTAACAGAAAAAAATTAAATTCAATAGTGCTCCAAGAAATGGTGTGAGCCATTAGAAGATTTTAGACATTGAGCAAATATAATAATATATAGACATTGACAATTATGAACATGTATCAATAAAGCACTTCTAGCTGTGGCTGCAGCTAAATCAAGAAACTCAAGTAGTTTAACACAATAGAAAAGTATTTCTTACTTATTCAGAGACACAGGCTCTGTCACCTTCAATGCATAGGTTTCAAGGTTACCTTGGATTTCAGCGTCTAGGCAGCAGATGGAGGAAGAAAGAGATGACAGGATTGCTTGAGTCATTTTTAATGTGCCATGCTTGGAAGTATCTTACATCATTTTCATTCACATTTCACTGGCCAGAAATTGAGTTATATGGCCACATCTAAGTTTAAGGGAGATTCAGGAGTGCATTCTAGTTATGTGCCAAGGGAAAAAAGGGAGCCAAATTCAATGAGCAATTGGACTGTCTGCCTTAGGGCACAATATTTGGTGGTGGAAATGATGGTGAAGTTGCTTACCAAGAAATGCTTGTGCAAAGTTTAGGAATACCACATATCACATATTTATTAAATGCTTACTCTGAACCAGGCAATTTTTTAAGCAATAGAATTAGAATCTAAATCTATTTACCACTCCTCAACTGTTCATGGTACAGTGAGGAAAAACTAAGTTTAAAAGAATTATAGGAGGATTCCAATATGACTGATTAGGGAAAAGATATGCTGATTTTTACCAGAGAAATATTATAGAAGAAAAGTAGAGGAAGTGTATTTCCTGGGGAGAGTTGCATAGAAGTATGCATTAGAAATTCTACAGAAAGAAGAGAGGTCCCTGGAGCAGCATGGACAATATTAATATGCAGCAACAAGTGGGGACGCCACCTGCAATTCCTGCAGCAGAGCAGGCTGGATGAGATGCCAGCTTCTGAGAGACAGATGAGAGCAGACTGTTGCAGCCCCTGTCTGTGTTGATATTGCCTGAGGGAGAACATTGTGGACCACACGACTTTGAGGCCAGCCTGAAGCCCTAGTGAGGCCTCGTGAAAGAAAAGCGTGTTTCTTTCTCCTCATACCCCAACAAGGGTGCCCAGCAACCATCTTAATGCCAGTAGTGGTCATGGCAGCTCTCATGCAGGCAATTCAGATTACTCAGAAACAAAGAGAAATTAATGAGATAAAGAAATCCATGCAGGATATGGATGAAAAATTTTTCCAAGAAATAGAGATATTGAAGAGAAATCAAGCTGAAAAATTATAAATGAGCAATTCAATATGTCGAGTAGAAAATACAGTGGAAAGCCTCAGCAACAGACTTGGTGAGACAGAAGAAAGAATATCCAACCTAGGATACAAATATTTGGAAATTTTTCAGTCAGACCAAAAAAAAAAAAAAAAGAAATTAGAAAAATTTTAAAAAGTATTGGAGATTTATGGGATACTATCAAATGACCCAACATATGGGTCTTAGGAATTCCTGAAGATGTGGAAAGAGAGAATGGATTAGAAGGTCTAGTCAGCCAAATAATAGCAGAATACATGCCTAAGTTGGAGAAATAAAATGACATCCGAGTACAGAAAACACATACAACTCCTAGTAGACATAATCAGAAAAGATCTTTACCACAACACTTTATAGTCAATCTTTCAATAGTAAATCATAAAGAAAAGATTCTAAATGTGCATGAGAGAATAGCCAGATTACCTACAGAGGATTCCCAACTAGACTGACAACAAATTTCTTATCAGAAACCCTACTGGTGGGGCTGGTGCTGTAGCATAGTGGGTAAAGCCGCTACCTGCAGTGCCAGCATCCTATATGGGTACCAGTTCAAGTCCTGACTACTCCTTTTCTGATCCAGCTCTCTGCTAGGGCCTAGGAAAATGGTAGAAGGTGGCCCAAGTACTTGGGGCCCTGCACTCATGTGTGGGAGACCCAGAAGAAGCCCCTGGCTCCTGGCTTCAGATTGGCTTAGCTCTGGCTGTTGAGGCCATTTGGGGAGTGAAGCAGCACATGGAAGAGCTTTCTCTCTCACTCTTCTTCTCTGTTACTCTGCCTTTCAAATAAATGAATAAATAAATCTTATAAAAAAAGAAAGAAACCCTACAGGCTAGAAGAGAATGGAGACATAGTGCAAGTCCTGAAAGAAAGAAACTATCAACCCAGAGTACTGTACCCAGCAAAGCTGTCATTTAGAAATTAAGTTGAAATAAAAACCTTCTAAAACAAACAAATTGAAACAATGTGTCACCACTTGTCCAGCCTTACAAGTGATTCTTCAGGATGTGCTACGCAAACACAGAATGATGGTCATCATTATGAAACAATATAAAGGCAGAAAATCTTCCAGTAAAAGTACAAAGGACATCCAAAGCAAACAAGAGAAATAATTATGGGAAAAATGGTAGGGCCAAGTATTACTTATCAGTAATAACCTTAAATATAAGTGGCCTAAATTCTCCAATTAAAAGATACAGACTGGCTGAATGGATTAAAAAAAACAAGACTGATCTATTAAATTACTGCCTACAAGAAACACACCTCACCAACAAGGATATACACAGACTGCAAATAAAGGGATGGAAAAAGATATTCAATGCTAACAGGAAGCAAATACAAATAGGCATAGCCCTCCTAATATCAGACAAAATAGACTTTAACACAAAAACTATTAAAAGAGACAAAGAAAGATATTACGTAATGATTAAGGGATCAATTCAACAGGAAGATGTGACTATAATAAATGTATATGCACCCAATAACAGGATGCCTGGCTATTTAAAACAAATGTCAATGGACCTAAATGGAGACACAGATACCAATACAATAATGATAGGGGACTTCAACACCATAATTTCATAAGTGGACAGATCAATAAGACAAAAAAATGTAGTCCAGGAGAAAAATGGCAGAGGTAGCAGCAACTGGGTCCAGGGTTTCTCGGCTTCTAGGTCAGTCCTGCCTACAGGTGGAATGGCCTATATCGATCAGTGCCCATGGTGAGGAGGGCTCAGCTTGCATGCGGAAGGCCCTCACCTACTTTGTTGCACTCCCTGGCATGGGCATGTGCGTGATCATGCTGAAGGTCTACCTGAAGTGAAACTAAAGAGAGTACAAGAGACCCAGGTTCACCGCCTATCCCCGTCCCTGTATCAGGATGAAGTCCTTTCCCTGGGGAGTTAGGGACCATACTCTATTCTATAAACCTCTTGTGAATCCATTTCCAGCTGGCTTTGCAGATGAATGAAGAGAACTTGGACCTTCACAGGCACCAGGGGCCAGGTTTGGACTACCATTCTGCATGCAGACCAGAAAAATATATGGGAACTTAAGCTCACCTTCCTTACTTGTATCAAATGATGACCACTATACTGATCTTTTATCCTGTTGCTTGTGGCAGGAGATGGCTTAAATAAACAACTTAAAACTCAAAAAGCAACAACAAAGAAGCAACAGAGCTAATATATACTATGGAGTAAATGGAACTAATTGATATATATAGAACATTTCATTCCACAGATGCAAAATACACATTATTTTCATCAGTACATGGGACTTTCTCTAGGATAGACCATATACTGGGCCATAAAGCAAGTCTCAACAAATTAAAAAAAAAAAGAAATCATTCCATGTATCTTTTCTGACCACATTGGAATGAAGCTGGAAATTAATAATTTAATCAACTAGAAAATGTGCAGATACATGGATACTAAACAAGATATTCTTGAATGAACAGTGGATCATAAAAGAAATCAAAGGGGAAATGAAAACATTCCTAAAAATGAATGAAGATAACAGCACAATATATCAAGACTTATGGGAAGTTTATAACAGTTAGTGTCTACATCATGAAATCAGAAGGGCCAGAGCTGTGGGGTAGTAGGTAAAGCCACTGCCTGTAGTGTCGGCATCCCAAATGGGTGCCAGTTTGAGTCCCAGCTACTTTTCTTCTGATCCAGCTCCCTGCTGGTGTGCCTGGGAAAACAGAGGAGGATGGCCCGATCCTTGGGTCATTGTGTCCATGTGGGAGACCTGGAAGAAGCTCAGCCCAGCTTCAGCCATTGTAGACATTTGGAGAGTAAACCAGAAGATGGAAGAACTCTTTCTCTCTCTTTCTCTGTCTCTGCATCTCTGTAACTCTGCCTTTCAAATGGATAATTAAATCTTTTTTTTTTTTTGGAGAAAAGAAATTGGAAAGGCAGCAAATCAATGATCTTACAATACATATCAAGGACCAGGAAAAACAAAGACAAACCAAACCAAAAATTAGTAGTAGGAAAGAAATAATTAAAATTAGAGAAGAAATATATCAAATGAAGACAAAAATAATATAAAATATCAGGGAAAAAAGAGCTGTTTTTTGAAAAATTAAACAAAATTGATACACCTTTGGCTAAACTAACCAAAAAATGGGGGAGGCAGGGGAAAAAATAAAAATTAGTAAGATCAGACATAAAAAGGACATGATACAATGGATACCACAGAATTAAAAACCATCATCAGGAATTACTACAAACAGCTGTATGCCAAGAAATTTGAAAATCTATAAGAAATAGATCGCTTTTGGACACACACAATCTACCTAAATTGAGTCAGGAAGATAGAGAAAATCTAAGTAGACCAATTACAAGGATGGGAATTGAATCAGTAATAATGACCTCCCAACAAAGAAAAGCCCAGGGCTGGATGGTTTCACAACTGAATTCCACCAAAATTTTAAAGAAGAATTCCAATTCTTTTCAATCTATTCAAAACAATTGAAAGAGCTAATATATACTATGGAGTAAATTAGCTCCCAAACACCTCAATTCCAAAACCAGAAAAATATACAACAAAGAAAGAAAGCTATAGATCAATATCGCTGGTAAACATAGGTACAAAAATCCTCGAAAAAATGCTACCTAATCAAATCCAATAACACATCAGAAAGATCATTCACACGGACCAAGTGGGATTTATCCCTGGTATGCACAGATGGTTCAACATACACAAATCAATAAATGTAATATGTCATATTAACAAATTGAAGAAAAAACATGATTATCTCAATAGATGCAGAGAAAGCAGTTGATGAAATACAGCATACTTTCATTATACCTTAAACAAATTTGGTATAGTGGTTAACATTCCTAAATACAATCATGCATGTATGACAAATCCACAGCCAGTATCATATTTAACAAGGTAAGTTGGTAGCATTTCCACTAAGATCTGGAACCAAAAAAGGATGCCCACTTTCACCATTGCTATTCAATGTAGTTCTGAAAGATTTAGCCAGAGCTATTAGGCAAGAAAAAAAATCAAAGGTATACAAATTGGAATGGAAGAAGTTAAACTATCCCTATTTCCAGATGACATGATCTTATCTATAGGGAAATTGAATGACTCCAGTAAGAGACTCTTAGAACTCGTAAGAGAGCTTGGTCACATTGCAAGATATGAAATCAACACACACAAATCAATAGTCTTTGTATACACAGACAATGCCATGACTGAGAAAGAACTTGTAAGATCAGAACCATTCACTGTAGCTACAGAAAAATTAATATCTTAGAATAAATTTAACCAAAGGTGTGAAATATCTCTGTAATGAAAACTATAAAACATTAAAGAAATAAATAGAAGAAGACACACAAAAATGGAAAAAATGGAAAAATGGAAAAAATCTTCTATGTTCATGGATTGGAAGAATCAATATTATCAAAATGTCTATACTGGGGCTGGTGCTGTGGTGCTGGCATCCCATATGGGCTCCGGTCCTAGTCCCAGTTGCTCCTCTTCCAATCCAGCTCTCTGCTATGGCCTGGGAAAGCAGTAGAAGATGGCCCAAGTTCTGTGGGCCCCTGCACTCATGTGGGAGACCTGGAAGAAACGCCTGGCTCCTGGCATTGGATCAATGCAGTTCTGGCTATTGCAGCCAATTGGGGAGTGAACCATCAGAAGGAAGACATTTCTCTCTGTCTCTCCCTCTTCACTGTAACTCTACCTCTCAAATAAATAAATAAAATCTTCAAAAAAAGGTCTACTCAAAGCAATTTCCAGATTAAATGCAATTCAAAACAAAATACTAAGAACATTCTTCTCAGATGTAGAAAAAATGATTCTAAAATTCATATGGATACACAAGAGACCCTGAATAGCTGAAGCAATTTTAAATTACAAAAACAAAGCTGGAGACATCACAATACCAGATTTCAAGACATACTATAGGGCAGTTCAAATCAAAACAGCATGGTATTGGCACAAAAATAGACATGTAGACCAATGGAGCAGAATAGAAACCCTAGAAATTAATCCAAAGGTGAAAAACCAACTAATCTTTGACAAATGATCTAAAATCAGGGGCCGGTGCTATGGTGCAGTGGGTTAAAGCCCTGGCCCGAAGCACTGGCATCCCATATGGGCGCCAGTTCTAGTCCCAGCTGCTCCTCTTCTGATCCAGCTCTCTGCTATGACCTGGGATAGCAGTGGAGGATGGCCAAAGTCCTTGGGCCCCTGCACCCACGTGGGAGATCTGGAGGAAGCTCCTGGCTCCTGGCTTCGGATTGGCGCAGCTCCGGCTGTTGCGGCCATCTGGGCAGTGAACCAGGGGATGGAAAACTTCTCTCTCTTTCTACCTCTCTCTGTAATTCTTTCTTTCAAATAAATAAAATAAATCTTAAAAATGAGCTAAAATCAATCCCTGTAGAAAGAACAGTTTCTTCAACAAAGGATGCTGGGAAAATTGGATCTACACATGCAGAAGTATGAAACAAGACATCTACCTTCCACCTTATAAAAAAATCAACTCAAAATGGATCAAGGATCAAAGTCTATGACCTGATATCATCAAATTACTTGAGTAAAATATTGGGGAAACTCTGTAAGTCATTGGCACAGTCAAAAACTTCTTGTAAATACCCTGAGAAATACAACCAATAAAGGCAAAAATAGAGAAATTGGATTATATCAAGGAAAGAAGCTTCTTTGCTGCAAGGGAAAAAATCAACAAAGAGGCAACCAACAGAAAATATTTGCTAACTATGCAACTGATAAAGGATTAATATCCATCTATAAGAGCTCAAGAAACTCAGCAACAACACAAACACCCAGTTAAGAAATGGGCAAAGAACATGAACAAGCAGTTTTCAAAGGATGAAATACAAGTGGCCAAGAGACACATAAAAAATGCTCAGTATAATTATCCATCAGGGACATGCAAATAAAAAAACACAATGAGGTATCACCTTACCCCAAACAGAATGGCTCTCATATAGAAATCAACAAACAATAAATGTTGGTGATGATATGAGGAAAAAGGTACCCTACACTGTTGGTTCAAATGTAAACTGGTGCAGCCTTTGTGGAAGACACTATGGAGATACTTTGAAAAGCTGAAAATAGATCTACCATATGATCCAGCAATCCCACTCCTAGGAATTTACCCAAGGGAAATGAAATCAGCATATGAAGGAGTTATCTGTACCCCCATGTTTATTGTAGCCCAATTCAGAATAGCTAAGATATGAAATCAACCCAGATGTCCATCAACTGATGACTGGATAAAGAAAATGTGGTATATATACACTATGGTATACTAGTCTGACAAAAAAAAAAAAAAAGAATGAAATCCTTTTACAGCAAAATTGATGTAAAATTTAAACCATTATGCTAAGTGAAATGAGGCAGTCCCAAAAAGACACATATCATATGTTTTCTCTGTTATGTAGTAGTTAATATCAAATACCAAAAAAGATATAGAAGTGAAGTGGTCATTTTGGGATATGATTGTCATATTTACCCCTTATGTATACTGTTGTGGAACTGTGGTCTTCCTACTTTTTACTTTTTGAATGTTATGATTAGTGATAAATTAAGCCTGTGAATATAGAGTGTAATAAAATTATGGCTTTGCAAAAACTGATGAAGAGAGGGGAAGGTGGAAGGGGGATTGAGTGGAGGGAGCAGGGGAGTGAGGTAAGTTTGGTTGTTTTCTTGTACTATATCTATAGAATGCATAAAATCTGTTAATTTTAATTAACATAAAATAATTCTAATTTATTTATTTAATTTATTTGAGTGTCAGACAAAATGACATGGCCAGATAGAGATCCCATCCCCTTATCCACTCCCCAAATGTCCACAACAGCTATGGCTAGGCCAGGTCAAATCTGGGGGCCAGGAACTCAATCCAGGTCTCTCAGGTGGGAAGCAGTAACCAAACGACTTGAGCCATCTCCTTCTATCTCTCAGGGTATGCATTATTAG